CTAATCGTGGCTGTGGTTCCGCCCGCGGATGCAGGGTTGAATTTCAATTCTCAATTGTGAAAAAGAATAAATAAATAAATATATATATATATAGTCAATATTGGTCATAAAGAAGTCAACACAAACAGAGACTTGGATCTTGATATATATCTTCTTCTTTTTCCCCGTAGAGTTCAAGTTGAAGGCTGCAATGCAAATGTACAGTGGAAAGAAATCATGCAATTTTTCACGCGCAATGAGATAAACAAGAAAGCAAGGAATCCGTATTTGCCTGGAGACCACGCTGAAATGTCTTCACAATTCAGATTCAGACCAAGTACAAAACCAACTGGTCCATATTATTAATAACTTGATAATGAAAGTTAATGCAAATCTTCTTTTGTCTACATACAAATCACTTGACTACATCACAATAGGAAAGGTCTTGGATTCGAGTCCTAACATTCGTGTAGTCTGTGTGAGTTTAATATGTTATCGCTCATCTCAATAAAAAAATGTCCTTAAAAAAAATCACTTGACTACTAACGATGTACATAAATTTATTAACCTCTTACTATTAATTAATTATGGAGTGAATGGTCTTTCTTCCTGTAAATTATCGCTTGATTGAGAATTGATCTCCCACATTATTTTTTCCAGAAATTTGAGTACTTGAACTATACAAAACAATAATAATATAGGGCTCAACATTATATTTTTCGAGCTCCATCCAATTTTCTGTCAAAAAATGTCATGTGGTAGGTACGTGAGAGCTAATAAATATTAATTAAAAAAACAAAATGAAACGCATAAAAAAGGTATGTGAGGGCAAATGTCATGTGGTGGAGAATGGTTTCTCATGGAATCCAATTTTCATGTTACCAAATTCCATGTGCCCCGTCAATAGGTTCCCACCACAATGGTGGTGGATTCTCCTAACCCCCCATGGCACCTAGGATCAAACCCCGGTTGGTTTCTTTCCTTTAATGTAACCAAAAAATCCGTGTGCCCCTCTATTTCCTCGTTAGTCCCTACATCTTCTTCACCCTGCAAAACTTAGTCCCTGCATCTTCTCTGCTCTGCAAAACGCAAGAAAATTGGACTCATACACTACATGGTGGTTTGAACCTAAGACCACTGGTCTGTAAGTCAAAGCCCTTTTCCATTAAGTCAAAATCAATAATGTTATTCTTACCACATTTGTATAACACATTCTCATATCATCTTATGTGGCAAATGAAGTGTACATCCATATCAATTAAAAAGTGTCAATAAATCATAAAAGAAAAGAAAATGTTAGATTAATTTTAATTGATGTGGTTATCCACCTCATTTGTCATATAATATGGTATGAAAATGCGGTATACAAATATAGTAAGAGTAACATTATTCATTCAAAATTGTCGATTACATAAGTTGCTAATTAATTTTAAATTTAAGGCTCTAACTTTAACATGAATGTTCTAAACTCTCGTAAATCAATTGTATATATTGTTGAAAAGTATTTGGTCATGTGTTTCTCAATAGTAAAGGAAAACACGCACGCATTTCTGTTTTCTTTCATTTGTCTTTTCTTCTCTGTACTTTGAAGCCTTTGTCTTCACTTTTTGCTCCTACCAATTGATTATAATGTTCATCGTTTACTTTGTGGATGGTTAAAGCGATGTGAGGACTATCATCGTCAAGTCCAATCCCAGAATGAATTCATGAATCTTGAGTTGCATGCTTGACCAGTTATAACGGAGTCTTGGCCTTCACTTTATTTGTTTTATTAATTCATTGTGAACTTTCGAGGGCATTACCACTGCCAGATATCATCCATCCTCATCATTAGCCAAGAAATCCTTCTTTTCGCGGAAGTGAACATCTCATACCAATTTCAATTTATATTAAAGGTAACAATTTTGCCGACACGACGAATCAGCAATGAAACTCACATTTCAAGGATGAAACAGTTTTGTGTACATGAATTTTACTAGGACTGTCATTTTGAATCGAAATACCGCATTTATCGATCATATATTAACCGCATCCACACGTACCGTTAATTATGATTTTTAAAGTGACCGTAATTAGCGATGGTCGATGCGGTTTTGTATTATATTTAAAATATATAATATACAATTCAAGAATACAAAAAAACAAAAAAACCTAGCCATTTGTTGGGCACGCCTTGCTTTTGCGCCAAGATCAAAGTCTGCTTTTTTCTTCTCCCCATCTCTCGCTCTTCTTGTCTCCCCCTCTCTTTCCTTTTTTTCCTACTTCTTCCTCTCTCCGTCGCTTTCCATCTCTCATCTCTCACTTTTTTCTCTTATTTTTCCTTCTTCTTCTTCTCTACCTCTCTCTCTTTTTTCTTCCTTCTTCCTCCCTCTGTCTGTTTCCATCTCTCCTCTCCCTCTTTTGTTTTTTCAGGCCTAGTTAGGGTGGTGGATTTTCTGGGATTGCTTAGCTTGGATTGTTTAGGCCCAAAACGACCCAATCGGTGTATACCCGTGTTTTTTGCGGACACTCACCGATTTGCGGTTCCACCAAGTTGCGGTTAACTGCAACTCTTCGGCCGGTTTGCGGTTACATGAAATTATTCTACGGTTCAAGGAAATTGTGATCACCCACCATCTAAGGATAGAGAAAAAAAACTGATTTAAAAATTATGACGTCATTATCTTTTACTTTTATTGCATCATAACACTATTTTAGTTATTAAAAATAAATTAAAGAAAAACCCTAGAGATGAGAAACGAAAACACCACCACTGTCTTCCGACGGAGATGAACTTGAAACAAAAGAAAGAAATAAAAACAAATGAGGCAGAACCCACCACCAGGAACTGCCCAGTTTCTCTCACCAATGTCACCATCAGAGAGGCAAGTGTCATTCCTTTATTACAAATTTATAAATAAACCCAATCATAGACATGTATTTATAAAAAAACCCAAGCACTATTTAAACATAGAAACACACCTAAAATCAACTCCAAAGTCAACTTTTGGGTGTGTTTATAAAATGTTTTTGGTGTTGGGTTTTTTTATAATTTCAACCTCCATTTTGGGTGTTTTAGTGAAACTCCCTTCTTTTATTTGTATCAATGTATTATGTATGAGTAATTGTATAATAACAAATTATTTTTTTAATGGTATTATTCATGATTAAGTTAGTTTTTTTTATTTTTTATAACGAATATATAAGGGATAAGTTTACTATTGATCTAAAAAATTTAGTTCACAATATATGAGTCAATCCGAACACGATATGATCACAAACGGGTTAGGTTAGTGTTGAGAGTCACTCAACTAGACTAATTAAATGTGCCCGGTGATGATCAATTATTTTTCAATACTAAATAACACGACACAAACAATTGAGGGCGAAATTTTTCCGAGTCTAACTAGATAGCTATTAACATAAGGAATTAAAGAGGGTGTTGTAAGGGGAGCAATATGCACGAAAACATCATGAAATTTGAGAAATGACATCTATTTGGATGGAATTTTAAGTTATAATTTATGACCTCCAAAGCCTATACCGAGCCTCGGGCAAAATCATAAATTTTTGGGGTGCAGTTTCGAAATTTATCTTCACTGGGCCTCTTGCCTCACTCAAATGAAAACTTTTGGGTCTCTGGTTTCAAAACTAAGTTCGTCAAATAGCCTCAAAAGTTTTTCACACCTGGGCTAGCCTCCCTGGGCCGAAGAATACGAACGTCGAAACTCAACCTACAGGCCCTCAAATCATTCAGCCCAAAGTGAGCAAGGGTAAATTCGTTACTCCACACACACACTACAGAGCCTATATAAGCTACCTTATGTCACTTCACTCCCCTCCTCTGTTTGTTCAGCCACTAGGGTTTTTCTCCGTTCAAAATCTGCAACATTTACAGTGATAGCTCTAAATAGTTTTAGTTTTTTTTTTGGGTGTAGCTCAGAATCCGAACATGGAGTTCTGGATGCTGAGCTCAGTATCGATTTTGCTTCGTTTGTTTTAAAGCGCGGCCCTTAAGATCGCCTTCCTTAGCAACCATGGAAGCGTTTTGAGTCATAGCTGCGCAATAGCAAAACACCATTTAGGAGGTTTTCTTTAGGGTTTTCCTTCTGAACCTTCCTCATCTCCCACCTGGGTTTTTCTTCCTGAGGCATTGCTCTGTTTCCATTTGGGTCCTGGAGCTCATTTTCTCATTTTCTGAAACAAAATGGCAAATAGCTTCAATGCTAGTTGCTCATGGGTGTTTCAGTCAATGGGGAGCTTCAGGCCCATTGGAAACTGTTCGTTGTAAATGTCTCAGTCTTGGGTGGGTAACATTCTTATCCCATTTTTTGTGTATAGTTTTTTAAATAAATTGATTAAAGTCGGGAATGAGCTTGGCAAGAATGATGATTCAATTAGATGTGTGAAAAAGGGAAATCCTTTTTTATGAACTCAACTATTTGAGGCATTTGGATTTGTCTGACTTGCCTGCCATCATTTTCAATCATGTTAGCTTCTTTCTAAGTTGTATCAATGTGTAGATGCACACTTACATTTCAACTGAAAATTATCATAACCTCTCCTGTTTCATTGAGTTCTTTTACTCCAATGGATTTTGTATCCCTATTTCAAAACTTATGATTTAGTTCCTTTCTGCCTTTTGGATAATTCCGCTTTCCATGTCTTGAGAACACCCTTTTTGTGTGTTTAATGGTTGTTGCCTATGTTGAAATTGTCTTGTACAACTTGTTCTTGGACATATTGGTCGTTTAGGCTCTCTGTGGTTGGTAAAAAAAATTCCATCGCAAATATTTTGTGAATCTCATATGATGTCCCTGTCTATTTTTGAATGTTACGTTGAACTTTCATTTAATAATGTGTTATTGAAGGAGCATTTTGGTGTCAAGTAGTGATCTTTACTGGAAATTGTCTCTTAGTATGCTCGAAGGGGTTAAGATCAAGGCATGTCTCTGTTGTCATTTGATGCATGTGTTATTAAAATGTTGTCCATTGTGATTTATGTTTCCTTCATTTTTTAAGCAAGATTCGTTTTCACTGTAATTTTATTTTGATTTCTGTGATATGTGATGACTTGTATGATTGCTAAAAACAAGTTTAGTCCATAATTGTTTTTATTTTGAAGCTAAAGAGACGGATTTTTTCAACTTTTTTTAATAAGTGGGTGGAAATGGACATTGGCAAGAGTGATGATTCAATTAGATGTGTGAAAAAGGGAGATCCTTTTTTATGAACTCAATTATTTGAGGCATTTGGATTTGTCTGACTTGCCTGCCATAGTTATCTTTATTCATCCTTTCCGAATTTAGTCCCTTGGGATGTATGTTTGCCTATGTGCAATACCGGACCACGAATTAGCACAACTTTTCTTGCTTTATTGGTTCTTTTTAGGTCAAATTTTGAAGTGGGATCTGCTCGCAGAATTTCAAAATGGTTGGTTGATTTCCTTTCTGCTTTATATATAATGGTGCACGATTTGAGAATACCCTTTTTCGTGTTTCGTGATTCTTACCCATGTTGAAATTTCCTTGATTGATACCTTACTTGGAATGTATGTAACCCGCTCTTGTGGTAACTGCTTGCTTTTCATCAACATGGTTGGTGAGGTGGTCATCTTTTTGTGCAGAAATGATGCGTTGCAGATCAGAGTCAAGTACACTTGTTAAGTTTTGGTGGTGCCACAATTGCTCTAAAGAGGCAAAACAAACAGCTGGTACTCCTTTGGCACTTGAGGGAGCTTCTACTTAGGTTTGAAGCTTCTCAATCAGCATGAGAGGAGACTCATTGTTGTAAAGCTTGTGGCTAATGTCAGTCACACCCAGCCAAACCTTTGTAACAACGCGAATTTTTTTGGTTTTCACAAAGCTATGCTCCAACTACTCTAATGTACGGGGGGGAGGAAAATTGAATTCTAATGTATGGGGAGCGAAATCTAGGAAAATTGCAAAGGATGCCTTGACTAACCGGCATAACTCCTGTATGCTTGTAACTATGTCCTTGAGATGGAACAATGTAAAACTTATGTTGATGAAACGATGTAAACTTATGTTGACTCTTGTCTGGTAGACGTAAACTCCCGTCGACTTGGGCAGTTTGTTGTGTAGTTTTCTCATGTGGGTTTTAGATTCAGTCATTCAGTGAAAATGTAGAATGAGATTGAAACAAACAATTGTGTTGAATGAGTTTCTTGAAGTCATGTCAATTGGTGATTGTGAAACTACAAATTCCCACCAGTGATTAAAAGTGATAGTTTTGATCTTCATTATCCAGACATTAATTCTTGTAAAGCAAACAGAGGAATTATTAGAAACATGAGCAAGAAGCAGACAGATATGGAACTTTGCTTAGCTATCCAGAATCAGCAAATCAAAAACAACAATGGGGGCACTAAACAAAAACTACCCCCAATTTCTTGGCGCATTAATAATAAAAGCCACCAGAATTCTTGATCAACCAACAAAAACACAAAGCTTGAAATCTCAATCAAGAAACCCAGTCC